TTCCAGTTTAGCAAAGGGTCAAGGAGATATATTTCCCCCTTATTTATGAAACCTATATATGTAATATACATATACATATACATATACATACATACATACATACATACATACATACATACATACATACATATATATATATATATATATATATATATATATATATAGGTCTTTGGTTATTCGGGTCTTCTCCCACGTAAAATTGGAAGTGTCTTGGCGACGTTTCGACAAAGTCTCATTCGTCATCTTCAGGCTGGTGTTCTCGGCTTCGTGCTTCCAGGAGCAATGTGAGATCGCAGCTGTCTCTTCCTTTTAAGGGAAGAGACAGCTGCGATCTCACATTGCTTTAAAAGGAAGAGACAGCTGCGATCTCACATTGCTTTAAAAGGAAGAGACAGCTGCGATCTCACATTGCTCCTGGAAGCACGAAGCCGAGAACACCAGCCTGAAGATGACGAATGAGACTTCGTCGAAACGTCGCCAAGACACTTCCAATTTTACATGGGAGAAGACCCGAATAACCAAAGACCTACATACAAACACCCGCGAAAACCTGAGAAAACAAATATACATACATACATACATACATACATACATACATACATACATACATATATATATATATATATATATATATATATATATATATATATATATATATGCATATTCTTTCTAGCCAGGTTCCACCTACGTAAGCTAAGTTGTTCCACAGCCCTAGTTCTTAGAACAACTTAGCTTACGTAGGTGGAACCTGGCTAGAAAGAATATGTACATAAAAGCCTACGAAAAAGAAAAAGACACACACACACACACACACACACACACACACACACACACACACATATTAAGAGAAGCTAAATTGAAAGAAGATGAGCATGGTGTTAAAATTGGAGGAGGAACTATCAATAGCCTGTGCTATACTGATGATGCTATTCTGAGAGCTGCAAACGCAGGTGATTTGCAAGCTCTAGTAATAAAAGTAAAGCAACACAGTGGAAAAATGGGATTGAGGTTAATTATAAAGAGACCAATCTGAATGATAACAAATGCTGCAACCAGCCTTACAATTAACAATGAGGCTACTGCAGTGGTCGACAGCTTCTGCCTTTTACAACTGACTATCAACAGTAAAGGAACAGCAGTCAAAAAACAAACTACTGACTAGCACTCAGTAGAGAAGTCACATACATCTTATAAAAGATACTAGAAAATATTTTGCCAGAAAATGAAGCATCTATAACTCTCAGGGGTGAAATTCAGCTGGCGTTATCTGGCTTGAGCAAACTGGTAGTGGTGGCTGCGGGAGCTCCGCCCACCTGCACAGACATCATGACGTTGCTTTCTTGTCACAATTTTAAGCCTCTGTGCATGTGCAGAAGGATTTGCGCATGCACAGAAGGATTTCCACATATGTGGACAATGGTGCGCACACATTTGCGAACCGGTAGGGAAGGTAAGTGAATTTCACCCCTGAGAACTGTGTTCATGTTTTCATATTATAGTTGTTGAAGTGTTTTTGTTTCCCAAATAAGATCTTGAACAATTCAAGCCCTATTAGTTTGCCCTGGAAACACAAATCTGAATCAACTCTGAAACTCAAATCTCCATCTTAAATTGAGCCTAAACATATTTGCACAGATGGGGGGTGGTTGGAAAAATTGTTGTAATACTTGTTAAAACTTTTTAATAAAAAAAAAAACATATTTGCACAGGTTTAATGGAGACTTAATGTTAGTCTGGCATCACTGTCTTAGAATGAGTTCAAACTGTGAGGAAAAAAACTTCTTGAGTAATGCTGAAAGAGTATGACTTTTGGTAGCAGCTACTGTACCTGTGGGTGTAATAATTGAATTCTTGAGAATAATTTATCTTGGAATATTTTCAGTGTATAACTAGTTGGACAACTGACTAAATTCATGACAGATGCTATTTTATCACACAAGTCCTTGGGTTAATTTAAAATTTTCCTAGCAGTTGTATTTTAAAAAAAAAACAAAAACCCACAAGTCTGTTGGATTTCTTTTATGCTGGCAGAGATAAAGTTTTCTCAGTTACCCAGATTTCAAGGAAATGTACTGGAAAATTGAATAAAAAAATGGGAGAGTATTTAGATTTCTTTTCAACTTCTGCTTCTCTTTGTAAACAGCCTTCCCATATTCAAGGTTTTTAATGAAGTTTTGGACTAAATTGGATTACTATTTTTCAAGTGGAATTTTTTTTTTTTGTAAAAAAGACTTTACTAAAATCTTTGAATGATAAAATGTTAATTTCCACTTCAATTTATTTTGCAGCGAGAGAGCTAATGGGCATTGTTTAAACTCCTTTTAAAACCAATGTAATTTTTTGTTCAGCTTCATATTTTAAAAATAACACAAAGACACTATCATCTTTTTCCTGCATGTGATGCAACCATTTCCCCTTTACTTTGAAATGGAAATTTCTTCATTCAGACATTTCTTATTTTAGAGGCTTTCAAAACATACTGCATATAATCTCTCTCTCCCTCTCCCTCCCTCCCTCCCTCCCTCCCTCTCTCCCTCCCCCCTCTCTCTGTCCCTATTTCAAAATGCTGGAATTTCCATTGGAAAACCTTGCACTCCAAACAGTTCTTCCATGAGCTCAATCAAAAGACAGTATGAAACAAATCATATTTCATATTTTTTTTCTCAACATCTGAATATGGATGTTCAATGAACATAAAATATATATGCAGAATATGATATTTAAAAGTATATATTACTTGAATTATTCATTTACACTAGCAATATTTTCTTGTGCAAACTTCTCAAATAGAGTTTATTCTTTAGCTGAGAAGTGGGGAAAGTAAGGGAAGAGGACAAATTTCCTACTCTAAATAAATGATCTGTGAAATTGGTGGGGAAAAACAAAACAAAACCCATAATCAATAAAAAATGTTTGCCTACATTTGTCTTGCTATTAGCTTTGTACTTACCTATCTCCATTGCAGCTTCAAGGCAGTCTTGATTTTAAACAATTCATTCAGTTTCAAACTTTAGGCCAAGTAACAGGGAAAGAGGGAAAGTATAAAAAACATAAGTCTTAATGCATTAAGAAATATTATTTATATACTTCTTACCTTAGATGTTTAGACCCAAGCATGTAAGAGCACATTTTGTCTCATGACTTCATCACATAAATGATATAAATGACATAATTTAGATATAATCTGGGTTTGTTGAAGACAAGTATGGTATATTCAAAGCTTGAATAAAGGAAAACAGAATCATGTTATGGAGACCATATTGAAATTTGGATGTGATATGGGGGAAGACAGTAATAGGATTTTGATCAAGGCTAGGGATAATACGCATCACAGGTTGGGAACCTTGTTCAAATATCACAATCCTACTGAGGTGGCCTAGAAATTTGGAGCCTAATAGGTAAGCAAAAATAAAACATTTGCTGAACAGCAAAACAAGTGTGTTTCCCAATATCCACATAGGTATATATTTGTATCTACTATTCCTGATAGATATATTTTATACCTATTATTCCTAACACTGTTAAAGCATTTGAATGCAAGATGTTACTTTGATATGCTTATGCTTCATTGGCATTCTGAACTGGATGCTCAGTACTCTGTAATTGTTGTTCAGCTCATGACATGCAACTGAATATTAGACTGCCCAATAATGGATTATTAAGATTCAAGTCAAATATTTAGCAATACATTCCATAGTTCTTTCCCACCAAGGAGGCTATACAGAATACAAAATAACAGGTTGGAAGGGACCTTGAAGATCTTCTAGGCTAGGGGTGTCAAACTCAAGACCCACAGGCTGGATCCGGCCCACGGGGTACTTAAATCCGGCCTGTGGGGCCAGCTTGGAAATATGAAGGGACTGGCCTGCAGTACCTCCGGCAGCTAAAACGGGATGCGTGGGGGGCTGCTGCATCTCATTTTCACACTCCATGGCCTCCTGCAGCACTCTGCCAGAATAAACTGGGCCAAAAAATGGGCCCAAAATGGGCCAAAACACCCCAAAAAACAAGCCCCATACAGGCTGAAAAATGGGCTGAAAATGGCCCCAAAAGAAGCCGAAAAATAGGCCAAAATGGGCCCAAAACAGGCAGAAAATGGGCCCAAAACAGGCTGAAAATGGGCTCATAACAGGCCGAAAATGGCCAAAAAACACATTGAAACAGGCCACATGGCCCGTTTTTGGCCAGCAGAGTACTGCAGGAGGCCATCCATCCCATCCCCCACTACCACCCCCCTCACCCCCCTCCCCACTCCTTTGGCTGCCGGCCCACAGAGGCGAACTACAATGCTGATGTGGCCCTCAAAGAAATCCAGTTTGACACCCCTGTTCTAGACCAAATCCTGTCCAAGCAGGAGACCCTATACCAGGGGTGTCAAACTCGCGGTCCACAGGCTAGATGCATCATGTGCTGGTCCCACCCACCCCCAGTTTAGCGAAGGGGGAAAGGCTGTGATACATCATGTGATGACAATATGACATCGCGAGTTTGACACCCTTGCCCTATACCATTATGGTCAAATGGTTGCCCAATCTCTTCTTGAAATCATGTAGTGGTGGAGCATCCACAACTTCTGGAGGCAAATCATTCCACTGATTAATTGTTCTTACTGCCAGTAATTTTCTCCTTACTCCTAGGTTGGTTCTCTTCTTCATCAGTTTCCATCTGTTACTTCCTGTTTTGTTCTGGAGAATAGATTGTCCCCTTCTTCATAGTGAAAGCCTCTCAAATATAGGATGACTGCTATCATATCATCTCTAGTCCTTCTCTTCATTAGACTAGATGTACCCAGTTCCTGCAACTGTTCATTATATGTTTTAGTAAGATTCATTCTTCCACTGTTTCATGGAAATTTCATCTCATATTTATCCAGCATCCTAAATTTAAAAAATTGATTGCAATGCACTTTCTCACATTTCTTAAGTATACTGATAGAAATTGAAATGATTCCCCATGCTTTACAATTCATCAATATGTTTAATAAGCTCATGAAGCAAAGATGGTGAGGAAAACACTTTATTGTTAGATCAATAATGTAACAAAACTGATGACTTCATTTAGGCAAGTTATAATGAATGCTGCAATTAAAAGAAAGTGATGAATGTTTTAAAATTTGTTAATCTCTTCTGTTTATTACACAAAAGCATAACAAAAAGGAAAACAAAATTATTAGCACCCTGTAAGCTGTGATTCACACAAATCATTGGGTGACTCATATTGTTCCTTTAATGAGAATGATGGAAACACTTTCTGTGGCTAGAAAGGCTCTGGCGCCTGGGGAGACAGAAAAATGGGCCTTCCCCATCATCCCCAAGGCTCTCCGGAGGCAGGAAACAGGCTGTTTCCCTACTTCCAATGGGCCCAGAAGGCCCGAAAATCAGCTGGCTCGCGTGCCCACCGATGTGGCTACACGTGCCACCTATTGCACGCGTGCCATAGGTTCACCATCACGGTCCTATACCTTTTCAGACAAATGGCTGCTATCCAATCTTTACTTGAAAATCTCTAGTGTTGGCGCACCCACAACTTCTGAAGGCAAGCTGTTCCACTGATTAATTGCTCTCACTGACAGGAAATTTCTTCTTAGATCTAGGTTATCTCTTTGATAAACGTCCATCCATTACTTCTTGCCACACCCTCAGGTGCTTTGGAGAATATGTTGACCCCCTCTTTTCTGTGACAGCCCCTTAAATATTGGAAGACTGCTTTTTAAGACTTTAACTGCTTTTAGCTGCAGTGTAACTATTTTAGGTGCAGCCTTTACCAGTTTCCCATCTCAAAATGTTATAAAACCATATAAAACCTACATTTTCAGGAATCATGATAAGAGAAGGCTCTGAGGAGATAAAAAAAAAAAGAAGGCTCAGCACAGCCAGCTCTTCCCTTCTAAAAATCAAGAGCAAATGTTGTTTCCTTTCCATAGCCAAAGAGGAAAATAGCGGCCATATTTCTCAGTTTTATAATATTTATAAGACCCAAATTTTTATAGATAATTCTGTTATTTGGACACTTGGAGGGAGTGAAGTCTCCAAAGTTAAAAGAAAAAAAAATACACATGGATTCCCCTTTTATGGCTAGATATCATATTAGCCAATTGTATTCATCCTTTCTTCACATAAAGAGCCAGGTTGTTATAGTGGTGAGGCTAAAAACCAAAAGATTGTGAGTTCTAATCAGAGGTGGGTTTCAGCAGGTTCTGACCAGTTCTGGAGAACCGGTAGCAGAAATTTTGAGTAGTTCGGAGAACCGGTAAATACCACTTCTGACTGGCTCTACCCCCATCTATTCTCTGCCTCCCGAGTCCCAGCTGATTGGGAGGAAATGGGGATTTTGCAGTAACCTTCCCCTGGATTGGGGAGGGAATGGAGATTTTACAGTATCCTTCCCCTGGAGTGGGGAGGGAATGGAGATTTTACAGTATCCTTCCACTGCCACGCCCACCAAGCCACTCCAACAGAACCGGTAGTAAAAAAATTTGAAACCCACCACTGACTCTAATCCTTCCTTAAGCATGAAAGACAGTTGGATGACTTTGGGCCAGTCAATCTTTCTCTCAGCTGAACCCACCTCATAGGGTTGTTGTGGTGGTGGTGGGAGAAAAAAAGAGAAGGAACGTATTAGGTATGTTCACTGCCTTGAGTTATTTATAACAATAATAAAAATGGGATAAAAATAAGTAAAATAAAATATAAAATAATTACTCTTAAGGAAAGGGAAGATTCACCTCAGGCAGCAGCTTCCTTTGAGTCCTTCTTTTTGTATGCAATTGTGTCGTTCTTAACTGCCAAAGTATACTATCCTACTGCCAATGTCACGATGTTGAAAGAAGAGTCAAGTATCACTTGAATCAGGTTCTGTAAATAAAATTGCGAGGTAGCAATGTTTATTTATTTGGTAAATTGATATAGGCATCCATCTCACATACATAACTGAGCAACGTACATTTTTTTTTTAAAAAAAACATAAAACAATACAGCAAAATAACCTCCCCAAACCCCACAACATTTTTTTTCAAATTAAGAACAATAAAAATCATGACAATATTATAAACTACTATACTACTAAACTACTAAGCAGCCAAATATTTTAGACCGGTGCCAGCCAAAATGCTTTTAAATGCAGGATCAACTTAGAAAGAGCTTCATATTAATGGCTGTTTTTTTTTCCCTTGTCTTTTCTCATATAGCTTGCAAAAACTTTTATAAATGGAGTAAAGTAAAGGTAGTTTGGTTTAATAGTTAAAGCACCAGGTTAGAAACCAGGAGACTGTGAGTTCTAGTCCTGCCTTAGGCATGAAAGTCAGCTGGGTGGGTTTGGCCCAGTTACTTTTTTCTCAGCCCAACTCACCTTACACAGTTGTTGTCGTGGGGAAAATAAGAGGAAGAATATGTGTTGGATATGTTTGCCTCGTGGATTGTTTGTAAAAATAATAAATGTGAGATAAAGATAAATAAATAAAATAAATATGAAGTGCAGAAGAAAAACCATGGAATGAGAATATTGGCTAAAATGAAGTCAGCACAGATAAAAGCATTGGCTGTAATTGTGGCTGGACATTGTGTGGAGATTTCCTAACAAGGGCAACAGATGGTTATTCTTAATATCACAATATTTTAGTTATAATAGTTTGTTAAGGTATGTTTGAAAGAAAGAATGTGTGACTCACATTCTGTTGACAGGTTCAAGGACAGAAGTGTTTTCTTTAAATACCTCAAAACCTGGGAACAAAAAACAATTAGGTACAAAATTATCTGAAAAACTGATAAAACTCAAATGCTTTAGTTTTTGGAATATTTACATACTTCAGGAATATATATAGATAGATATGTATATATGAATAATATACATACATACATATACACATGCATACCCAACAAGCCATAAATTTCTGAAACACAAATAATAATAAATAATAACACAATAATATGTTTCATCACTTTTCTCCTCCTCCCTAAAAAAAATGATATCATCTGTAATGCACAGGGAATTGTTTGGAAGACAATATATTGTGAGTATGAATTAGGATTTAACATTCACCTAAAAAGGATTTATACACTGTGAAGGGGAAGCAGAAGGTCAGAGTACCACCCTTTAACTGGGAGAGCAGGGTTCAACCCCCTAATGCTTCACCTGCCTACCTCCAATACAGAACTGACATGAACTAAGAGAGTCGTGCTAGCTAAGGTCATCACCTGGATTTATAAGGTCAGCACCAGATGTTGAGAACCAGGTTAATCTAAGCTACTGGAACAGACCATACGTGGACGAGTCAAGAGAACCTGGAATTGGTAGAATGCTATTATAACAGAAGACCTAATGAGAGGGGATATATGAAATTATGAGGGAACTATGGATGGACAGAACACCTAAACCATACTAACTGAAAAACAGTTGGTTATCCAATGTTTCAACATTGTGAAGAGGAAGCTGCTCTCACAGCTTGAAATAGGCCAATTCCATATCATGTCCCAGTTTCATGAAGACTCATGCATCCAGAACAATTGGAGATGTAGCCAACACTTGAAGCTGGAAGATCATTGACATCCCTTCAGTTACGGAGGACAGCAGCTAATATGGCATTTAGGATAATGGATAAACTATCTAGAATCAACCTCAAGACTGATTACCAAGGCTCCATGAAGAAGTACTGCCAGACAGTATGCTAGAAGATGCCAATAAAGCTCTCAGGACTAACCAATGGAGTGGTATACTTTACAGTCACTGTAATCCTGGAGGTGCTTGAATTTCTTTCAAATTGGGGGAAGGGAAGAAAATCTTGGACAGAACAAGTAGTTTTGTCCCTTTTCTTTGTCACGAGAGCAGGAAAGCATATTATGCAATGAATGAATTTACCCATTGAGTGCAATGCAGACTGACAAGTTTCATTTCTCTGCAGTAATACATTATCCAACTAAGAATGAAAACAATAAATTTGAATTAGGAGTAGGGCATTTTATACATTGGCAGGCAGATTTGAGGTAGGAAAATTGAATGTAACATAATTTTGGATCAAGTTATTCTTCCTAAACTTTCAGAGGTGTGTGTGTGAATATACATACATACTTTCAGTTTAGTGTGAGAAATTTTAGATAGATAGATAGATAGATAGATAGATAGATAGATAGATAGATAG